AAATATATGGAATACTTATTTAATGACAAAACATTATATATTAATCATATTTTTTTTTTAACGACATAAGCTGAATTGCAAACAAAAAACCACTTAATTTTTAAACCAGTTACCAAATATAATTGTGTTTGTAACATACTATGTCCTTAGGAAAATAAAGTTTTATCTGTATATATTTACGAACAAAAGTGAAAATCGATTTCTCCTCTTAGAATTCATAAAAATAACACACAAAACAACCTTAATTAACTAAATATCAAATGACATCTAGTACATCTAGTATAGTTAATTTCTGTTTCTAGTTCTAGACAATATAGTAAATTTCTGCTTCTGATGGAAAACTTATAAAGGATATTCATATATTGAAACTATTTACCTCGAACATTGTTTTTAAATACTTAAACTTCTAAAGAGTAAAAAATTTTCTATCAATATTTTTATCAAGGATAATTAGAAATCCAAACCCGAACAATTGGTATGTTTGCTTACTCTCATATTTTAGGGCTTTGACGTATTTCAAACATAAAAAAGTTGTACCTTTTAAAGAAATTACATGTTTTTATTACAAAAACACAATTGTTTCCAATAACCGAGTGGTTTCAGGCATTTTACCTATATTCACTACTCGTCAGTTCACCTGCCAAAAACAATTTGCTACATATTCCGAAGAGATCAATGAAAAAGTTTTATTTAAATAATTTAGCTACACTATATACTTCATAAAAATAAAAATCATAAAGTCCTCTTAGAATAATTCATGTACAAAACATTATGACGTTACACTATACACTGACAAAGCAAACATCCGGTAAGTTCACAAAGTTAGAAACTTATATTTAACATGAAATTATCCTTGGTGGACGTTTTGGATTCAATATATTCTATTTGTTAAATATTTCGTTACAGAAATTACGTTATAAGTCATAAAATTTTACGACACTTAATCATTTCTCCCTAATGATAACTTTGATTTCACGGGTGACTCTAACTATTAATTAAGAAAGGCACAGTGTCTCGTCTGCAATTACAATACAATTTCTAAACATCATTCGGTAAAATAATTTTAGTAGTTTAGTTGAATGCAAGGTGCCAGCTATAACTTTTTCTATATTGAATCATTGATTCCTGAGGATGTGTCATATCGATTGATCTACTTATAATGTCAACACACTTTTTCGCCTCTATAGAGTTTTTATTACAGTTATAGAGCTTCTTATGAAATATCGTACCAGCATCATAATTTTAATTTGTTTTATTGATTTTTAAGAAAATTGTGTGCATGGTGAATGTGAAATTTAACACAGGCCAAGCTTACACGGCGAAGAATTATACAAAAATAAAAAATATAGATAAATTCTTGTATACAGTGATGAATATGACCAACATGTAATAAAAAGCTAAGCCATGAAGATCTTTCAACGAGTGTTTTGCCTCAAAATGTCAAACAAATGAAAGATAATTTTGATCCACTATTTATCTTGAATTAAGAGCTTACTTATGGTCGTCTTTATATAGAATTAATGAAACTTTAATTAATAATTTTCAATTAATCTATTTTCAATATCTAAGTTAAAAACATAAAAAATTGCACTATCGATGCCGTTTTTAATTACTGCAACAATGTAATTAATTACTTTTAATTTATGCAACGTCAATATTACTCACACCAATAAATCCTTACGTGTAATTAAAATGAAACAATATTATATTTATAAAGAGTCAGCTTACCAGCTATAGTATTCACTAAAGTTTTCAAAAAGTTGGCGGAATAAAGTTATTATATCTAACTTTCGTTGAGAAAAGGACGGAAGGAAAAACGCATGTCCATTATATTGTTTTTTTTTTAGTTCAAACCTTAATGCTTACTGACCTTAAGCAGAACAAAAATTAACAGTTTTGTTACTTTACCACCACTTTACCACTTAACCTTTCCCACCGAACAGGAGTCTTTTTTTGTCTTCGGGGAGAAAGCTCGTTCCTAGACATCGACTGTTTTTTTGTTTCCATGTAGAAATTATGATTTACTTTATCCAGTTTCGTGCGGGTGGTTTATTTATGGGAAAAGATAATATTGACAACCATCAGTCATTTGGATCCATTTGAACATGACCTTAAATAACAGAAATAGATTAATTAGTTGTTCTTTTAAACAAAAAACATAAAGTATGCCATATTATCAAAGTTGGCGGCCTCATATGTGACAATAGCAGTCACTTGAAGTTAGATGTCAGTTAGCTTGAAAGATTTCGAGAACGCAAAACCAACTTTTTTGGACATGATGTACAAATAATATTATATTTTGTACCTACTGTGTTAATCTTGTAAATACGTATTTAAGGTGCTAATTTCCAAATTATGACGAAATATTTCGTTTTCCTAAACACTATACAGGGTGACTGGTGAATTACTATCGATACTTGAGGACGTGATATTTGACGATCATATATGACAAAATAAAAATTAATATAACATAATTATTAATAAAATTCTAAGTAAAGTTAACCAAAAGTTATGTAATTAATTACGCATCGTGTGAACACCCTACAGATTAGGTATACACACACACACACACGCGTGCGGCGGTGTGGTGTTGTATCAGCACGCCGCCGCACGCGTCCACACTTGGAACACTTGGAACGTGTCCACACTTTATTTATTTATACGGAAATTCTTCTTAATTTTTCATTGATAGTTAGAGTAACTGAGTAAGCTTTACTCCGAACTCAGTGTTCTGGACACACACGTCCTTTTAAAACACAAATACCATTCTTACGATTAAGTTGACCATAACCTATAGCTTTATCACCGTAACTCTCACGTGATGCTCTACAATTAATGAAATAATTATTAATTATATTTAATAGAAAATAAATACTTATTTTCATTTAGAATGGTATTTTTAACAGATTTACCTTGATGCCTTAGCACCTCGAACTTCAGCAGAATTAAACCGGACGTCATTTTTAAAAAAATTAGTTATAAATATATCAAAATCAGGAATATTATCCGATTTTGCTTTTATAAATCCTTTATCACACATAGTTAGTCGAAATAAACTTTTCAAATCGTTTTTCACTAATAAATTTGAGATATTTTTATCAAGTCAAAAATAATAGCCATAAACACTGTACTATTATGAAATTGCTTTAACATTATGACGTCACAAGTATGCCGACCAATCATGGCGCGTTTACAGTCACGTGATTTGTTTTTGAATTTTATAAATTTTTAATTGTTTATAATTAATTTAAAAAAAATGTTTTCAAGTTTTTTGCATTAAAAATCAATGTAATTAATAATAAAGTTTTAAAATACATAAAAAAAATCAATACTTTTTTTTTTCAAAATCCCAATTATATAACTATAACTATATCTTTAGGTCTTAAATCGTCTCACTGAGGTTAATGACCTTTAGATAGAAGTTTTTAAACACATTTTTTATATTGAAGCGTTTTACAATTTGACTCTTCTATTATAACTTATTGTATTACCAAAACAGTGAAATTATTCCTTTAAAAAATGCAATAAGACAAGAGCGAAATGATAACGAAATCGATACGATAAGTTTTAAAATTTTCCTAAAATAAGTTACCTCGAGTCGTCTTCAACTTTCTTTATTTTTATATCACTTATATTAAAGCAATATACTAATATCAATGAATATTCTCGGGGGAGCCTGGCCCCTAGAGAACGTGTCCCCAGGTGGCGGATAGGGGAATGCTCGCCAGTGGCAACACTGAAGAGTAGGAGGGAAATAAAATACCTCCCGCGGACCAACAGGCAGTCCCGTTGGGCCGCTCGGACATATTCCGTTACCGGGCCAACGGGATACAGCGACAGCAGGCAGGCTGTCGTGCAGAGGATGGCAGCGGAAGAACGAAAGTCAACGGTGGCATCCTAAGCCCCAGTTAGCAAGGGGTTACTGTCTTGACGTCAGGTGGCAACCGGTCGTAAAACTATAAGCCAATTCACCCACTCCTCATCATGAAAGACAAAGTTAAGAAAAAGGCGAGACCAAATGCTAGGGCGTCCCCCTTAAGCGACGTGGATATGAAATGCGACAAAAATGCTAGGGCGTACCCCCGAAGCGACGAAAAAGTCGTGGGTGCACACCAATACAAACCAAAAATGCGAATAGCTACCTGGAATGTGGGATCCATGACTGGACGCAGCTCAGAATTGAGCGAAGTATTATTTAGACGCAGGGTCAATGTTTGCTGCATTCAGGAAACCAGGTGGAAGGGGTCTAAAGCTCGAAGTATCGGAAATGGATACAAACTTATTTATCATGGGTCAAGTACAATAAAGAATGGCGTAGGTATAGCCATCGATAGTTACCTACAAGAACGAACTATAGAAGTCAAACGTGTTAGTGACCGTATCATCTCCATCAAATTTGCCATTGAAAACCAGCAATGCATCAACATTATATCAGTGTATGCACCACAGACAGGATGTAGTGACGCGGAGAAACAAACATTTTGGGATAATCTTAACGACCTAATGCAATCTTACCCGCTCGATGAAACGAAATACATTGCAGGAGACTTAAATGGACACGTTGGAATAGTCTCACCATGTCATCAGAGAGTACACGGCGGACAAGGAATGGAACCCAAAATGTTCAAGGCGTTGACATCTTAGATTTTGCAACGTCCCACGACTTGGCAATAATTAACACTTATTTCTCAAAGCCCGACAGACACAAAATAACCTACAAAAGTGGTAGTACTAACACCCAAATCGATTTCATCCTAGCTAATCGCTCTAAGCTAAGTACATTTAAAGATTGCAAAGTTATACCCGGAGAGCCTCTCACATCACAACACCGGCTACTAGTGGCTGACTTCATCATCCCAAAGGCTACCAAAATTCTTAAAGAAAAGACACCTAAAATTCGTTGGCATAAATTACCACTCACGGAAGGTGACCAACTGATCGTAAATGTTAAGCAATACATTGAAAACATATTACAACAAGACGATATCACAGCAGAAACAATGTGGAACCGTTTCCAAGACCACTGTCTGAGAAAGGCTTTCGAATTATTGGGAGTCACCAGAGGACCGCTTACAAACAACAAAAAAGCTAAATGGTGGCAGCCAAACGTGGAAGAAAAAGTGAGAAATAAGAAAAACCGTTTTAAGATCTGGCAAAAAAGCGGCAGCGATGATGATCGCGAAATCTATCGCAGAGTAAAAAAAGAGGCGAAAAGGGCGGTTGCTCGTGCTATGGCGACCTGTGACGAAGATTTTTATAATAAATTGGAAAATGCCAAAGATGATAGAGAACTATTTAGACTTGCAAGATATAGATACGCGAACAGCTTGGATATACGAACAACAAAATATATCAAAAACAAAGATGGTCACTTGCTCACTTCTAACTCCGACATAAAGGCGAGATGGTGGGAGCACTATTCCCATCTTCTCAACGAGAGCTCCCAATTTAAGGTACCAACCGTAGAAAATGCCGTAGAAGGACCTATTCAGGAAATTTCCACCGAAGAAGTCAGAAAGGCCGTTAAAATGATGGCAAATAACAAGGCGAATGGTCCTGATGAGATTCCCGTGGAGCTATAGAAAAATTTAGGGGAAGTCGGCGTCCAGTACCTAAAAACGCTTTTCAATACAATTTTATGTGATGGAATACCTAGTGAATGGAGAAAAAGCTACCTAATTCCATTCTATAAAAACAAGGGTGACGTCAGACTCTGTGACAACTATCGCGCCATAAAACTTATACCACATACTTTTAAGATATGGGAAAGGGCCATAAACAACAGACTGGTGAAACTTACTAAGGTAACTGAAAATCAATGTGGCTTCGTAGAAGGAAGATCTACAACAGACGCTCTACATACTCTAAGGATTCTATTGGAAAAGTATAAAATATTAAAAAAAGACCTACATCTCGCTTTTATAGACTTAGAGAAGGCATTCGATCGAGTACCACGAGAACTAATATGGCAATCGCTTCGATCGCAAAATGTCCCGGAATACTATGTTAAAGCGGTTATAGATATGTACAACAAAGTTACAACAAAAGTACGAACCCCAGCAGGTCTAAGCGATGAATTTCACGTAGAAGTAGGTGTACACCAGGGCTCAGCTTTGAGTCCTTTACTTTTTAATCTCGTGCTAAATTACCTCACAGCAGATATACAAAAACATCCACCCTGGGACCTCCTCTACGCGGATGATATCGTCCTCATTAGACATAGCCGCGAAGACCTAGAAGCATCTTTGGAAACCTGGAGATCCACCCTGGAGAACGCCGGTTTAAAGATCAGCCGCCAAAAAACTGAATACATGCGTTGCTACTTTTCAGGTTCCAATCAATGTCAACCGGTTGAGCTTCAAGGCTATCATCTGAAGGAAGTAGCAAATTTTAAGTATCTGGGCTCTGTAATCACAAATGATGGTACGATCGACGCTGATATAAACCACCGAATTAAGACAGGATGGATGAAGTGGCGGGAACTATCAGGTGTCTTATGCGATAGAAGAATGCCGATAAGAGTTAAAGGAAAGGCATACAAAACCGCGGTTCGCCGCGCCCTTATCCACGGTGCTGAATGCTGGCCTGTGAAGAAGACTCATACCATAAAAATGCACACGACGGAAATGAGAATGCTGAGATGGGCAGGAGGAGTCACTATTAGGGATAAAGTGAAAAACAACTATATCCGTGGGAGTTTCAAGATCCGCCCAATCGAAGAAAAGCTCTTAGAAGCGCGTTTGAGATGGTATGGCCACGTAATGAGAAGACCTGAAGACAACATGACAAGACAAGTCCTGAGCTTAGATACCGGACCTAAGAAACGAGGGAGACCCTTTTTAACTTGGATGTCGGTTATAAACAAGGACCTAAAGGAAGCCCAACTTGATGTCTCGACCATACAAGATAGACCAACCTGGCGAAGAATGACGAGGAGAGCCGACCCCAATTGAAATGGGAAGAGGCTAGGCAGAGAGAGAGACTAATATCAATGAATATTAATTTTTTCTAACGTTCCTGAATATAATGTGAGGGGATCATATGCGCATCGAAACTATAAACTAGCCTATTTACATAAAATAAAGTTACAGTTTCTCTGTTTTACAAATATCTAAAACAGAGTGCTGTTATATTTTTCATTAAATAAGACCGTTCCTTTAAAAAAGTTTATATCAGTTATTACTACTAGCTAGAACCACGACTTCATTCAAGTACATTTATTTTCTTTTAGTTAAATATTAAAAAAGAAACAAAAATAAAGAAATTGTCTAAATAAATCATTATTAAATTAGTCATCGGACAATTTATTATACTATAGGAATATTCATTGTCATTTGACAGTAATTATGGGTTATGTATAAAAGTTTTTCAACAAATAGTCAGTGTCACTTTGTTATATGATTTTTTTCACTCTCATATAAAGATGTAACGCTATTGTTAAAATTCATCTGCTCCGTCTGTGATAGGTAACAGTGTTTTTTATATCTGTAAACAAATTAATTTACATGAAAATGTTTTGAAACTATATTTTTAATTTTTATTTATATCTTCTTCTTCTTAAGGTGCCTCTTCGACTAGCGAAGGTTGGCAGTCCGCTCCGCATACTTTTCTGTGTGTTTTGCGAGGTAAAAAAGATGAGCAGCACTCGCATTTCCAGTCCATACTTATATATACACTTATTTTAGATAAATTGTTTGTTAGATAAATAATTAATTATTTATTGATGACTGCCAAAAAACTGAAATCAAGTATAAAATTAAACTACTCGTAGTATTGTTATATAGCTCATACGTGCAGGATATCTTCGTATCAATTAAAATATTAAAAAAAATATAACACCGACAAATTATTTCCTGCATGTAAGTAATAACAAATTATTTTGATGGGTGAAAGAATATGATGGTCTGTGACGGAGGTCCTGAAACTTTACGAGAAGAAGTAACTTTACAATTTCTTGCAAAACATTTGTTGAGCGTTATAAAGCCGTGTCCATTAAAATCTGTAGTGATTACTGGTTGTGATATAATCATCGTCGAAGCACATTATTCATTTGTTGAATGGAGAATGACAATACAGACTCGGAGGGTAAATGAGATTGGGTCGAACCTCTGTCACATTTACAATGGATGATTACATATTTTGAGGGCGTATTTCAATAATTATTATTATTGCAGTGAGCTTGATTGTGGGTACAAAATTAGAATGGTTGAGTCTCATGTTGCAGAGTTTTGTTTAAATAATATAGTTATTTATATTATTAAAACAGAATATGTATCGACTATAGATACGGAGTTAAAAAAAGAAACAAAAAAAAGAACTTCACTAAAATAAAATTTCATTTACTCTACGTAAAAACTATAAATAGAGAAATTTTATTTATTTACCGATTTTCATTATAAAATAAGTTTTAAACAAATTAATAATGTAAACCACTGTAAACGATCCAAATATAATTTGTATTGTATTGTTCATAATGCACGAAGCTCTAAATAAAGTTATTCTAAATACAACTCGATGGAAACCTTAACAAACTTTTCCCCCTGCCCCAGGTATTAGAAGTATATGTATAGTTAAAGAATCAATGTTGCTTAATATAACCTCGTGGGGAAACGACGAAACTGATATTAAAGTTATAAACTTGTATTACATACGCTCGTTCCATTGTGGCCGGCCGCAGTGTAGCCTTGAAAGTAAGTTCCTCACTTGTGTTAGCAAACTTAATGTAGCGCTATGCTTCGATCTGTGATTGAAATAAAGATTGTGATCAGTTGTGGACATCGTTATCTGCAATATTTTATTTATTATATGAAATGTATTTCCGCGAATAGATACAAATAGTAATGCTTTAATTCTTGTTCTTTAATGTAAAACAAATATTATTAAAACTTTTATTGTAACGATTTTGATGTCAATACTAAGAAGATGCAAACATCGGCGAATCCGTTATTTCATGACTCGTAATAAAAAAAAACGTTTAAACGTTGCTACTAGTGTCGCAATATAGAAAAAGGATAATTTTATTACTGTATTACAGGTGTATCTAAAAATGATTATAAAATGATTAAATTTAAGCTTAATGAAATATAAAATCAGTTTTAATGATTTGTAATTTTGGGGAAGAAAAGGATCATATGGTAAAATGATAAATTGACCCACGGTACTTGACGTTTATGAATGGCGGTTTAAGCAGTGCCAAGATTGATAGACGTAGGCCCTTGCAAAATATTATGAATGTAAAGCATGATATCTTCAGCATCGTTACCCCTTTCGCTGTATAGAGAATTTAATAAAGCAAGTTTTTTCTTCTTTAAATCAGATATTAATAAGAATAAAGAATCGTCGTTTAAGTAAAATAAATGAATATATATTTGGAAATAGTTAACTTTATATGAAATATACTTGTTATAAAATTCAACGGAACCATTTTTGGATATTAAGCTGGCATTTGTAAAGTTGTAAAGCTGTCTAAAGTTGCACTAAATTCTGCAGTTTTTTGGGATTTATAGAATATTCTAAGCAAAATTTTTGATTGTGAATACTCTTATTGAACCTAAGCGTTGATTTTAGAATTACCTTAAGTAGGGCGAAACAACAAAGAATGAATATATGTAAAGTTTATTAATATAGTTAGTTAATTATATCTGATAAGTAAAACAATCAATCGGTCATAAAACCTCGAGTCTCTTTAAATAAGTCATGATAATAATCTCATTAAAATTGGACCTTGAAACTGAATATTGGTATTACTTGAATTCCAGACAACTGCTTCAACTGAATGGTGTTGAAAAAATTTGACGGCAAGAATTTTTTATTTAAACAACAGCTGATATTTCAGGCTACATTTGGTTGAAACAATATGCGGATTCAATTTAATATCTGCTTAAATGAGTAAAAACATATTAGAACAAGAAGGGTATTAAAAGGTCCTCTCGATGCATATATAGACTCTAGTTTCAACCACACCTCTCTTGCAGCCATGCACCCACTTACGTACTTTAACTCACTCGGACTGATTGATAAAATCAGATCTGGCTTCGCACTTTCATCTGCAGCTGACCAATAATTTAACAATTTTTCACTACCCGTTGTTGAATACGGTCTCACATTTTTTCCCACTTACGTATTGGGAACTTTCCATCTTTATTAATAACGCTTGAACCTTAATTGTTCGTGTTTCGTAATTCTCTTTATCCAGGAACTCTATGATCACTGATTAAGCCATAATTATAAAAACGTTTTATATTACTGGGCCCATAACGTAATGAAGAACACAAGCTTACATGAAAAATTATTCTTTAAAAGACAATAAAACAATTGACCCACGCCATACGTACAATGTGTTTTCATAAACTAAAACTAGCCTGTGCACATACCGGCACATTATACTACTCCAACATTATTCGTATTAATTACGTCAATAATGATTATCATTAAAATCAAGTAACGTTTTTCAAGTTAAGAAGGAATTGTTTGAAAAATAATCGCTGATTTATTGCACATAAGATTAAATGGAACAACTGTGTCATTTAAGTTTCAAAAATACATATATAATTGTTCAGTAATATTTTAGTGCAGGTGTCTG